AGATCGTTTTGATCGCTGTAGCTGGCTTCATCCAGAAGCAAGTAACTGTAATCATTGCTTGTTCGATTGATAAATGCCCGGGTTTCAACATCCAGCATTGTTGTCGGGATCGTCACATTAAATATAGCCGGCGCCACTATATTGTCTAGAAACTGGCTGGTAGTTGCGGTTTGAGTGGTGCCAGCTGTTTCACCTTTAATAACAGAATTTTCGGTCACCAATATGCCGAAAGCGGGAGTTTCAGTTGTTGCACTTACATCTTCGAGCAGTTCAGTCTTCACACTGTTCGTACTAGCTGATCCAGCTGCCGCAATCGTGGTGGTTGTCGTACCTGCAGAAAACTGGATTGTTTCTGGATTCGTAAACATGGAATGTTCGGTAATCGGCGAAGAAAAAGCAGATGTTTGCTCTGTAGAAATTTCTGGCAGTAAAATTTCGGTAGTTGATACCTCAGTAACAATATCTCTGTTTTCTGATGTATCTACCGTAGTTGCAGATGTATGAGCAGAAAAACTAGCTTTTTCCTTTACACTGATATCAGAATTAGCAGTGACATCGGAACTGACAGTTTGAACAATTGTGTTGCCATTAAACGACTCCTGAATTGTTCGATTTTTTTGTGGAATGGTACTAAGAAAAAAGACCGCATCTGGTGGCACTACCGTCGCTGTTGAACCGACTGGAACTCCAGAATTCGTCGTTTCGGCAAATGAAAATAGCCGATTGGAACTTGTTGCAAATGATTGCTCAGAAATCGTCTTCCAGTAATCGCTCAGTGACGTTAACAGTTCCGAATCCAGTGGCAAAGAGCTTCTGCTAGATGTTCCAGGAGAAGTATTGATTGGAGGAGACTCAACAGTTGCTTGCATTGTTCGCACTGTACTTTGTTCGGATTCTTCAGTGGTAAGGGAAGGCTTTGCTGTTGTTTCTTGAAATACTGTAGCGTTGTCTGTTACAGCAGAGGACTTCGAGAAGTCAATATTAGAAATTTTCGTATTCTCAGTTGTTCTTGAATCATTCCTCAGCACTTTTTCTGCTTGTTGAGATAAGTTGTCGATTATTTGATAATCAAAAGAGTTACTTCTAAACGAAGTCAAGTCTTGGAGGAAGCTAGA